CGTTTAGCAACGGCCATGACATTCTTATACGTACGGTGCGGTACTGGCACGGTTTCCTTTTTTGGCAAAAGTTATTTGTAGCAATTTGATTGTATTTGCGTATGCATTCGCACATGTGCGAAAAATTTTAAATTATCTGGGTGGCGTAAAGTATGTTTAAAATTAAACTTATTATAAGTTTTCACTCAATTCGTTTTTGGTGCACGTGCAGTTAAAGTAGTATCGTGGCTGCTTCTTCAAAACCAACTTATGCCACACATATATGTATACGTACATATGCAGTCGCGCGTTCACGCAGTGTGCTGTGTTGCTTTATGATTTTCAATCACCAATCTACCACCATCACCACCACAACCACCGAAAGCAAGAATGAAAAGGAGAAGACGAAAAAAACACACAAACCAAACACAATTTACTTCAAAAATGATAGAGAAAATGTGCAAGAGAAAATCAAATTATCATCTCTTTACGCCATCTATCTGCTTGTTTAATTTTCTTCACATGAGAACACACTCTCCGCACATCCAATCGAGTCGACACTCGATTCCAAAACTTCAAATCGATTCGATCCCAGATAATTGTGTCCGCTGACACACACACACACACACACACGTTCTAAGCTACCGAAACTGAACGAATACATAGGAACATGAACTAGAACATATACTGAAAACGATAGAAATTGAAACGCATTGGATGAGCTTCATATAAATACCATTTCGAAAATGATTTATTTTCAATTGTGGCCAATGAAATATGTGCATTTCATAATATCCTAAGTTATAATTATCGACACAGCTATTTTCGCATCGGTATGTAAATATTCGACAACAGCTGCACATTAAATCAGACACTGAGACAAAGAAGGAAGGGACAGAGAATATGCAAAATGCAGCAGCAGCAGCAGCAACAGCAGCAGCGACGATGGAAAAGACAAAAGTAGATTTCACTTACATCCGATGTGCTGCACATTGTTTCGATTTTGAAAATTTCCGATGCACGCCACACAGTGCTGCTGCTGCTGCATCGCCTGAGCATGAGAAAATATGCAGTCGCTTAGACGACATGGGATGTGGAAAATGGTAGCTTGACTATGTAAGCATATATTCTAATATTCATTTGAACTGGAGCAATGAGCAGAACAGCAATGGAAAAAAGGAGAAACGAAAAAAGTGAACGAATCAAAGTACAATTGAAGTTTTAGTAATCTGTGCACGAACTTGCACTCCATTTTAAGCAAATAAGAGTCGAACAAATGCAAAAAGGAAGCATCAAAACCAACATGGTACCAACACAGGAAAAAGCCAGCGAAACGCTAGAGTATCAACAAAAATTGGTAAAATGTAACGAGAAACAGACAACAACGAGAGGAGAAGAAAAAAAACAACACAGAGAACGCAAAATAAATCGAATCAAAACATGCGACTGACTCCAAGATACAATTTACTTAGTTTAATTCCGTTACTTCAGTATGCATCGACCGGGGCTGGAATTCTAAGTCATTCCACCAAAATCGTTCCGAATTTTTTTTTCGTACATAAGACCATATTGGAGTGAAAGAGAGAGATTTCACTATTTTTCAGCGTGACACCGCAATTATTTCGATAACTCAAGGAAGAGTGGATTGTGTGAGAAATAATTCCGGTGACACGCTGAAAAATAGTGGAATCTCTCTCTTTCACTCCAATATGGTCTTATGTACGAAAAAAATAATTCCGAACGATTTTGGTGGAATGACTTAGAATTCCAGCCCGGGTGCGGATTGCAATTCAAAATCGTATTATGTATTATGTGTATCCGATCGGTTTGCATGCAAGAAATTCATAATGACCACGTTCCCGTATTCCGATGGCTTGCACGAGTGCCAAAAAGGTGTTATGCGGTTGCCATGTGTCTAAGTAAACGTGCAATCTTCTGGCTACCAAATAAAAATAGCAAACTTTGCTCTTTTCCCCTCCAATCGCCATTCTATTTGTGGTTATGTATATGCAGAGCGGTCAACGAGCGCTCGTTCGTTCGTTCGTATGCGAACATGTTCGTTTGTTCGTTCGTTCGTTCGTAGAATCTACGAACATGTTCGTTCGTTCGTTCGTTCGTTCGTAGAATCTACGAACATGTTCGTTCGTTCGTTCGTTCGTTCGTAGAATCTACGAACATGTTCGTTTGTTCGTTCGTTCGTTCGTAGGTAAAATTTCATTTTTTTTTTTCAAACATAAAATTTTCTTATTTCTTAAAAAAATATAGGAATGATCCTATGTACTCAATACTGTAAGCACTGTAATACTGTAATTTTCAAGTTGTGAACATTATTTTCGCACAAAAAATTGAACGAATATTTTTTTGAGTTTCCACTTGCACAATTGGATGCATAATAATGCAATAAACAATAATAATGCTGGTTTCAAATGTTGTGAAACGAAGAAAGTGATGCATACGGAGAGAGAGATAGAAAAAGTGACAAAGACAGTGTTCATCTCTTTTTGCCAAGTATGGTGTGCACATTTCAGATTCGTCTTGTTGCTGTGATATCATGAAGCACGTTGTCGCTCGAACTGTGTGTGTTGTACGATCACAGAACAAAACATTGTCTAAACGTATAACTGTTTTGCACGTGGCGATTTAACACAGTGCGTAAAACACACACTGTTTGAACGTCCATGTGATTTAAATCATCACTGCAACAAGTCTCTCTGAATTGCACACCATAAATGACAAAAAGAGATGAACTTTGCTGTCTTTGTCATTTTTATCTCTCTCACTCTCTCTCTCTCTCTCTCTCTCTCTCTCTCTGTGTATGCATTACTTTCATCATTTTACAACTTCCACGTTCATGTCCAGCTAATTATCATATCATTCTATTCTCGCCAGCGGACACACAAACCACAATGAGTGAAAGTAAGATTTTCAGCGATGTTTTTTGTTGAGTGAAGATGTTTTTAATTAGTTTTATGCATTCAATTGCGCAAGTGGAAACTCAAAAAAATATTCGTTAAATTTTTTGTGCGAAAATAATGTTCACAACTTGTAAATTACAGTATTATAGTGCTTACAGTATTATTGAGTACATAGGATCATTCCTATATTTTTTTAAGAAATAAGAAAATTTTATGTTTGAAAAAAAAAATGAAATTTTACCTACGAACGAACGAACGAACGAACGAACGAACGAACATGTTCGTAGATTCTACGAACGAACGAACGAACGAACGAACATGTTCGTAGATTCTACGAACGAACGAACGAACAAACGAACATGTTCGCATACGAACGAACGAACGAGCGCTCGTTGACCGCTCTGTGTATATGTGTGTGTGTGTGTATGCGGTCATCACGGAATAGTTGCAATGAACCTGGCACCCGGTAATGTGTTATCAGTTATCCGTTTGAGGCCATTGTTTCCCTTTTTTGATCAACTAAATGCACTTATGTTCCACCGGTCTTCACTAATTTTTCATTTTTATTACATTATCCCGTGTGCTGTGAGTGCACGAATAGTTGCTCTGTCAACCGTTTGGCATCTCCTCAATGCCACAGGAATGTCTCTCTCTCTCTTTTTCTCTCTCTCTCTCTCTCTCTCTCTCTATCTCTCTCTTCCTCTCCATGTCCAGTGCAACAGAAACTAGGTTCGATGGAAAAAAGTACAACACACTCACACAATCATTAGACGAGAGTATTTTGTAAATTTCAAATCAACCCAAAGCGAATGCCATTGATGGTGGTAGACTTTGAATTACGTTGATGGCCTGTGAACGTATTTTAAATCCGATTGAATGTGCTTGTGATCCACTCTTTGTAATCGTGAACAATAGACGACCAAGTCATCTATTCCATTGGCAAAAAAAACACCATTTGAGCCATCAAACACAGTTGGAAAGTCTTGACTGTCTCTGTCAACGAGAGAATGAAAGGGGAGAGAGGGAGATCGAGCCCAGTGGCAAACGATCTAACAAACGTTGAAAGTGCCACTGAAAATTAATTGCTCTGATTTCTTTATTCTTTTGTAATGGGCCAAAAGGTCAACATAATTATGCCTAGCAGCCGAAAACTATGGGCCACGTGAAAGGTTTTGGCTAACATTCCAATGAGCATTCCAATGAGCATTAAAGTGGTATTTATCATTTCGAAATGTGTATCGTAGGTATATATAGTATGTTGACAGGCGTAATTTTTTTTTGTTCCTTTGGTCTTTCTATTTCGTTTTTGTTTTCTTCTGTCTGATAGCCACATTGCGCTCAATCGGTTGATAATTTTCTTTTTTGCGAAGAGGGTGGTAATATGATCGGTTTTGCGTAAACAATTGTCTAGACTTCACCGGGGCACATCAATTTTTGGTTGGTTGAAACAACGAAAAATAATATATATATACAATAGAAAACCAATGGAATAATTTGTCGTGGACGTCAAACGCAGTCTAAAAGTGACTATGTTCAAAAATTAAATGTCAATGGAGGTCCCTCATTATATTTTGTGTTTGCCTGTGGTTTGCCAAAGCAAGAACATAGAGGCATGTGTACGGACAGATAGAGAACCAGAGAAAGAGAGAGAGAAAAAGAGAGAGATAGAGAGTTGTACTGATATATTTGTTGTCGAAATCAAACAATAATCACATGATTTCATACAAAAGAAACTTGAATAGTACATAGCATTTGTCTATCTCACTCCATCATACGCTTGTTGACTGTGGCGTTCATTACTCTCGATCTCTATTTCTCTCGTTCTCCCACTTCGCCGATTTACAAACAAACAACCAACGATGCGAACAATGCAGTAAATGTGAGCTCGGCTCGCTCTACACTCCTAAGCACACATACACAAACACCAACAAATAGTTGTTGATTAATTTGTCGTGTCGTGAACGCACACCGCACACACAATTGGTCCAACAATTTTCGAGCTGCTTTCATACACATGTAAAAGTGGCCTGAGTATTTGTGAAGCGGCCGTATAGACATTTGTTAAACTGTCACTGTGACGTTAAGTAGTCAGTGCTTATTGTTCGTCCTATCAACATTCGAATTTTTTTTCTCTTTCAATCCAGAAGAGTTTTTTTTTGCGTTTAATTTTTTTTCGCTCAATATCTTTGGGATTTTTTTTTGATTCGTCGTTATTGCTATTCAGCAATCATCAGTCGTTTTCATCACAAGTGAATAAATTTAAAAAACAAAAAAAAATAGTAGAAAAAATGAGCGATTTAAATACAAGCAAATATTTAAAAGTAGTTGCTGCGGTTGTTATACCGAATATTGGCGGTTGGTTGGGAAGTGTAATAACGCGAAACAATTTAAAACCGTGGTTCGCTTCATTAAATAAACCAAAATGGAATCCACCGAATTATGTATTTGCACCTGCCTGGACCAGCATTTATTGCGGCATCGGTTATGCATCCTATCTGTGAGTATTTTTATTTTTATTTTTGTTGTTGTTGTTGTTGTTGTTGTTCTACACAAATGCTGATAAAAAAACTCTCTTAACTCTCTCTTCCTCTCTCTCGCTCTCTTTCTTCTCAGAGTTTTTGACGAATTACTGTCAACCGGCAGAGGATTCGATCGCACTGCTCAAGTCGCATTAGCATTATATGCCAATCAAATGGCATTGAATTGGGCATGGACACCGATATTTTTCAAATATCACTCTTTAAAATGGGTATGTAATGGACGAATGTACGTACATGCGTATGTGTGAGTGTACTGTGGTGTGTATTCAGCTTGAGTACGTACCTCTGAACAATGAACGGAACCAACAAAAATACACCGCACATATTGTACAATCGCCCATAATCAAATTACTCTTCATTTTATATCATCGATCAAGTTTTTATTACTGTAATCGCCATAAAATTGCACTGCTGATAATATTATTGAGTCTCTCTCTCTCCCTCTATCTATCTATTTATATATATTTATGTTGTTTTTTTTCCCTTTCGTTTTATCCATATTCTTTGTACAGAGTGCCATTGAAATAGTAGCGCTAACGGCATCGGCTGCAGCATGCGGCTACGCATTTGGACGTATCAATCAAGTGGCTGGTCTTCTTTTCGTTCCGTACGTTGGCTGGTTGGCATTTGCTACATATTTGAATGTGTCGATCTACAAGAAGAACCCTGACCAAAAGGCAATCGCTAACAAAAGTGCTGCTGCTGCAACCAAGTCGGACTGACTTCCATCGCAAACATACCGAACCCAACAATAAAAACCAGAAATGATTCCATTTACAACAACGAAAATGGTCAAATTTGTTTAATTGCCCAAATATTCGGAGAGCAAAAAAATATCCCGAGGCTCATGTATTACTTATGCATTTCAATGAATCGCTGGAATATTTAACGTTTGCCAAATGAAATTGTATTTCGATATTCTCGATAATAAACAGCACAATATGAATAATTTATAGAATTCAAATATGATATGGTATACTCTCTTTCTCCCGCTCTCTCTCTCTCTCTCTCTCTCTCTCTCTCTCTCTCTCTCTCTCTCTCTCTCTCTCTCTCTCTCTCTCTCTGTGTGTGTGTGTGTGTGTGTGTGTGTGTTTGGTATGGATGAGTTTTTGTATGCATTAGATCTCTTATCTATCGCAATCTTTGGCCCTCCATTCTTTGCTGGCCCTACGACTTCTGTTCAGAGGCCAACTTGATTTGACTTTCATTTTAAAATATCGCATTCATTATTCATATTCGGAGAGCATTTTCTTTGGTATTTTTCCAATCAAAAAGCGTGTGTGTGTGTGTGTGTGTGTGTGTGTGTGTGAGCATTTGTCCGTGGCCGTAAATATGCGCACAAATGACCTCTTTCACTTTCATATCGTGCTTCAATCGAGCACATTGATTCGCTGTCTCCCTCTCCACCTCTTCGTTGATCTCTGCGTTGCTCAGCACAATCTCCCTTTTTTTCTAATCACATGGCATTTTATCATTCCAACGCACCGAAAAAAAATGTATGGAGTCCAAAGCGAAAATTAAGAGGTAAAGAGGACATATAGGAATGTCATAAACATGACATCGTGTCGAATCTCTTCATATCCTTTTTGCAAAAGCATATCGACTTTTCGCCCCATTCGTTTACATAATTTTTAAATGTAATATATGCAAAAGCGAGGACAAAGTCATGTATAATACATAAAAAAATATAACGTGTTTTTCCCTTTCTATCTCTCTCTGTGTGTGTGTTCGTTCATTCATTTTTTTCGCTGGCTCCAATTTGCCTTTTTTTTCTCCTTTTGCTCTCCTGTCTTTCGATCTGGTTGTGCATCGATTCGGAGCCTGATCAAAACCCAATAAAGTGTAACGATTTTTCATATCTCTTCATTTGACAAAAACAAAAAAGCAACCGAAAAACGAACACATGAAAAGGAAAATACAAATTACCATGTTATTATACAATGGTTGGAAGAACGTTTATGTCTGCATCCGCAAAAAAGGTCACCGTATAAACTTTGATTCTTTTCAGTTTAACTCTCAACTTTTCTGTTCTGTTCTGTTCTGTCCTCTCTCGCTCGATCTCAAATGATGATGCTTTCATATGTTTTGAACTCTCTCGCATGAGCTAACACATACGTTTGTAGGAGAAAGAGAGAGAGAGAGAGAGAGAGTGAAAAAAAAACGTTACGCGCACATCATTTCATTGCTCCGATGTTGTCTGAAAATTTTCCGTGTTTATTATGCGAGTGGTCGTCTGGTCCCACACTGCAGAAAAAAAAATTGGAAAAGTTTAAAAGAGTAGATTTCAATCTGTGGTTTAACGCCGGCTGTCAATGAAACGAATGCATCGATAAAACCAACATCACTCTTCGGTGTCAACCGCTCAACTGTTTTCAATGAAACCCTGCCATCAAAGGCACAGATGATTTGCGTTCAAGCGCCCTGCCACACCAAATAATAACGCTTGCCCTCTTGAGCTTCATCGTTTGCCGTTTTCACATACACACCCACCCACCCACCAACCAATACATGGCGCGGTTATGGCGGTGGTTGAATGGAATATCCATTCATTTCATTTTGGCAAATTAATTTTAGATTTTTCTTTTGAAAATCTATAGAAAATCATCATTTTCGTTGCGGCTTCGCAATATTTGACCAAGATTATGAAAATTCAATTTCTATACACAATGCGAAATTCCGTCTGGCCATAGAATATATAGTGTTGTTGTTGCAAAATTTTCAGTTGAACAAAGGAGCAAGCGAAGAAAAGAAGAGAAAAAATAACACTGCCCGGTTTGCAAGGAGTCGGCACAGCGGCAGAGCGGCAGAGAATCAGAAAAGTTTTGAATAAAAATGAGAACGGACAATATTATTGATCTGTCGATTCGAAATATCTCCGGCTGCTGCGTGTTCTCTCTCTCTCTCTCTCTCTCTCATTCATTCTTCTTCTCTTTGGTATGAATGTGTGTGGTGTATGCATGGATAATAGCATAGAATCGAATCGTTCGCTTAAAAATGCATTTTGAATATCCGTTACAGCATTTTTGAGTATATATGAATTATACCGATATTGTAATAAAAATAAATGGCACACTGGACAATGGAAATGATAAAGATATTGCGGCTTGTAATGGTCGTATGAATCTGTTTATATATTTTTGTTGTTGTTGTGTTCATTTTATTTCGATTCATTTCGATCAGCTCATTTTTTTTCTCTTTGGTGTGTCGGTGTCGTTCCGTTTCGATCCGTTCGCTTATTCCGATGTGGTGCTTTATATGCACTGGCATTTTGAACAAATCAAGAAAGGTTCAATCAATTCTGTTCATCTCGTAATCGTGATCCTCACGTCCCCGTGTGCTTGACTCTCCCATTCTCTCTAGCACTTTCCTAATTTACCATTCCATTTTCTCTTGATGACCTTTTTTTCTGTTCATTTTCAACTCACTTTTTCTCTGTCTCTCCAAGTATTTTATCTATTTATTTGGTTTTTTTTGTCGGTATTCGTTCGGACCGGACGGTGTGTGTGGGCTGCTTTTCCTTTTCATCGTCGTCGTCGTCGTTGTCGTTGTCGTCGGATTAATCGTTTGCTATGTTTTCTTTGGTAGTTATTGCCGCTTTCAGCTCTCTTCAATGGACATTTACCTTCGTATTAATGCATGTTTGAATTGTGTACGCGCCTGGCCTCACGTTCGAATACACATGTTTTATGGTAAGCGCATTTTATGCGACTATTTTCTTCGTTGCATCTTATCGTATACCGAATTTATTTGCTATTTTATGTGCTGGACATTCAAGCTCCATCACTACAGATTCCTTTTCGAGTTTTTTTCCTCCCTTTTTATTCATCTTGTATTTGCTCAGCTCATTCAGACTTTGGTACTGACGTTGAGTACACACAGGCCGATGGAACGTAGGAGTGTGGGTGAGTGAGTAAGTGTGTAAGAAAGAACAAGAACGGGAGCGTATTTTGCACAGAAGTGTGTGCATTTGACCATGTAATGGGTGGATAATACACAAATGTTTCATAAGCATGGACAGTGTTATTGTTGTTCTCTATATGGTGTTAAAACGTCTATTTTTTCATCTTACGGTATTCTTTTTTTCTCCACCTCCCTCCTCTCTCTCTCTCTGTTCGATGTCTTTGTGTTATGATAATGACAAAAAAAGAACGAAAAAGAAAATAAAATGAAATAATAACAGAAGGAAGAGAGAAAAAACGACGAGAAAAATCGTTACAAATGAAGGAGAACATGTACACAATACCATGAAAATGTGTAAATCGTGCCTGCCTGCCAGCCAGCCAGAGTGTTTGGATGTGTCTGATTGTCTGTTAGGCCGTTTGGCTAGATGGCTGAATGGCTGGCTGGCTGCGTGTACTATGAAGACAAGGAGCCGTTGGTCCATTCTCCGTAAAGCCACAATGTAATAATCATATTTTTATAGTTAGCTACATAAATAGTTGTAAACAACCTATTATCAACATAAAATGAAAGAGTGAGAGAATGAGAACAATTGTATATGGAAAAGCAGCCCGCACACGCTAGATACAGCATCCAAAATGTGTATGTGTGTGTGCTAGTAACATGTCCGTGATATTTGATATATTTGTTCATGTAGGAAGTTGTATGAATTTTCTATTTCAGGGTTTGTTGGGCGACTTTTTAGCTTGGCCAAAGATGCTGAAAAAAAACGAGAATTTTATCATTTGGTGCACAACAAAAAAGTATGTTTCTTCTCACCAAACGCTTTTTTTTAGCAATTCACTTTGTCTGTATCCAGTCGGTGTTTCACTATCACCGCCGTCAGACAAATATTCCATTTTCATTGCGATACGGTATTTATTCCGCGAAAAAAAAACAATGCGTCTCTGGTGCGCGAGAAGAAGAATACTGAAAGCAAAACCGGAGCATCGTTTCACAGCGAGATATTTTAAGATTTGGATCCAGTGTGGTAACAGTTATCGAACGTTGATCGTTGGTTAGGCATTTTAAATCCGTTTCAATGCTGCAAAATATGACAGACATAACCATTGCTTCGATTTAACGGGCCAAAAGAAGAGCAAAGACGAAAGAAGAGAAGAAAAAATAATAATAAAAATGAAATGTGCGTACCGGGCTACTGTTCCGCAATATTCTCCTTGCTCACACGGCTTCAGAGAGCATCTAAACGACGATAAAAAGGATACTATGCGGAGTTGAATCATTTGCACTTTAAGTGCTGGAGCTGTGTGTCGTTCCGTGTTTGGTGTGCCGTGTGGTGATGATAATAATAAAGAAGAGTAAGCTGCATTATTGTTGCGTTTGCGCATGATCTGTATTTAACAGCAGTTATTTCTCCTTCGCCATCGCCGCCGCCGCTATTGTCGCTGTCGCTGTCGTCGTCGCCGAAAACCGTTACTCACTGTAACCAGCCTGAAACCGTGCTGATATCGTAATGGATATGAAACATGTTTAAAATTCGGTCGCATTGAAATGTTATTGTTTTGTCACAGGGTGATCCGGAGCTCGATGCTCGGTGCCGTTTGGCACTCGCATGGAAAACAGTAAACACCGAAAATGGGAAAATCTGTAGTCGAAGGGGTAGTAATTTATATATGTTACAAAGTGTGTGCGAGTGAGAGCGTATAGTGCGCCATACGCACGATTGTAATACCGACCATTGTCAATACCATGTTCGGCCATATCATCCAAACGAAACGAAATCTAAACCAACAACAAAAGCCCACATCGCAACAGCCATCCCAATATCGTACAGCTTAACGGGAAAAGAACCCCCCAACAATATGCACACACCGTACACACAGCAAGCAAACGTACGAACGACCGAGGCAGCAGCGCTCGAACACCTCAGCTATGGAATTTCGTCTTCAGTTTGATCTGGACTAGCGATTGCGATGTACACAGATTCATATTTTTTTGCGTATTCTGTTCCATGGTTTCGGAGTGCGTGTGCATTCGATATTCGAACATTTACGCGAGTATCAGTGAATGTAATCAAAGTCTACCTGTCGGATTATAGTTGTTCTGTGTGAACTGCGCTCTCAGTGTTTTCGACTCTTTAGCTCGCCGAGTTTTCACTTTTTTTTCTGTCTCTCAGTTTGTTTGTCCTTCTTTCTACCGGGACAGCATCATTTTGGAGTTTTTGAAAAATGCATTGAGACAGCAACTACTTATAAACCGAAAAAATAATGTCGGACAAGTGGTTTTTTTAATAGAAAAAAAGAAAGAATATTAAACTGATAAGTGACTTTTCAAATGGTAAACAACAAACAGCAAAACTTATGATATTGTGTATGTGAACGAGCGCGCTTGTGTATCGAACAATTTACCTTGAATTCAACGCTATTTCGAAATCAGTGCAAACTTTTTCAACATTGAATGCTTCCATCATGTTCAGTGACTGCTTAACGATCAATTAAAGTTTCAATGGATTTGGCCCGATCTGAATTGGAGGAGTTGTTGATAAAAGTGAGTGGTTTGGAATTGATATGATTTTGTGAAGTGTGTGCGCCGTATTAACAACAGCAAATTGATATTTATTCCATTTGCAATCGAACGGCGTTTGTGACTCGATGAAGAGAAAGATATAAATAGAAAGTGATAGAGAGAGAGAGAGAGAGAGAGAGAGAGAGAGGGAAAAAATGAGAATTCATTCGTGACTAAAATTTATGCTAATGGATGAGAAATATTAATGAATCAACCGATTGATGAAAGATTGATTGTGGCTCTCAAGTGTTTTTGAATGATCTACTTCCGACAAACTAATCGGAAAATAAGCAAAAAAAAATATTATTAAATACAGTATCACAATATAGAATTATTATGTTTGTCGTAGTTTATAACCAATGATTTATGTGCAATTTAATTATATGTTCAAAAGATAAAAGAAAATTATAGTAGAAAAAAATAGGGAAAAAACTGTTTGTTACAATAACCGTCAATCAAATTTTACGGTAAGATCACATACAGTTCAGTCAATTATTTATGATACGAGTAAAAAAAAGTCAATGTGAAACGATTTTTTTTGTTAACTTCCTCAATCCCTCCAATCCACCGCATCTCTCGGAATGCGTATCCACAATTTGTTCGAAATAGTTTGTGAATTACTGGTTTCCGAGAACAACAAAGATCAAATTGTCGCGACAAAAAATCATGAATAAATTCTCCCGATTCGTTTTTTGTTTTATTTTGGTTACATCCCGATTATATGCCATACCATAAAACAGTGAACGGTGAATCGCTCGTTTGAAAATTGTGTTCCCATGGTTTTTTGCATAACTCAAAAATCACTTAAAAGATAATCTTCAAAAACGGTGGTGTACCATAGCAAATTGAATGCCATTTTACAACGTGCAATGGAAGAGTGCGATCCAGTCAATTAAGAATAGACGATTATAAAAGTGCGTCGGGAGAAGAGCGAAAGAGAGAATCGGAGAACGAAACGAAAAATAGAAGCCTCCGGACAGTGTATGAAAGAACGAAAGAAAGCTAACGAACGGCAAGAATTATAGATGTACATTTTTGTTTCTGAGAGAGAGAGAGAGAGAGAGAGAGAGAAAAAGTGGCCAGAAAAAAGTCGATTCGAAGCGAAAAATGTGGGGTGCACGAATGTATTCAAGATCGGGGAAAAAGCAACACCATTCGGAAGCGAGAGAAGAAAAAAAGATTGCGTGGTTTGTCTGTGTAGTTCTACAGCGGTTTCACCAAAAAAAATATTTTCAGTGCTTTTTTTCTTCCTTTCTCTCTTTCTCACTCTCTGCCTCATTCAACGTCCATTATTGGCATCGTTGTTGTTATTGCTGTTGTTGCTTGTTGCTGTGTGTATGTTGATGTTTCTTAGCTAAAAGCATTTCTTCGCCACTTCATCATTTATCGTTTCGTTGTTCGCGTCGGTAAATTTTTTCCTTCTCTTTTTTTTGCTCTCGTCATTTCACTTCGTTCGCATTGTTTTTCATGGACTTTGATATGGTGAATGAGCTTATATACGTATGTATTCAGTGTATGGAAGCTCAAAAAAAGCAAGTGAGTGCATGGTATCCGAGCAACATCCATTTGGTCACCAGATGAAAAGTGCTGGCGGTCTTTTATTTTCTAATCTTGCCTAGGATTGTCTTAGAACGCAGCAGCAAGCGAACGGAAAAGTGAGCGAGAGATGAAGAGAAGAAGAAGAAAAAAAGCTTCACCAAACTAAATGTATGCATATCCATGAGCAAAAAAAAAGCGAACGTTCAATGTGAGTGAGACGCATGAGAAGAGCCAAGTCTGAATTGCATTTTAGAAACGCTGGAAGAAACGTTTTGTTTTCTCAAAACGACGAGCAGATGAGGTCAACTGTGACATTCTATCTCTCGCCATATTTTCTCGTCCGACACCAAATGCGCAAAACGCTCGCAGCATCTTATCGCTTTTTCTTCTTCTTCTTCTTCTTCTTGTCCTACCGACCGAATTCGAAGTGGATATAGAATTGAAACCAATAAAATACATTTTATTTTTTTTCATACTTTGTTCAAGAATTGCAACAATGATAATAATGAAGAGAACAGAAGAACAAAAACCAAATTATATGCAAAAACGTAGTCACATCTATCGAAAACATAACAACTGACACTAAATACATTATTCTTTATAATTTCGGAAAATGTTCCATTTAATGCGCACGGCACGTTGCTTAGGCATGGATTAAGTTTCTGCACACAATTTTCACTCCACGTCGTGAAATCCTAATAGAAACATTCAATCAATTTAAGAGGTTTATTTGAACCGATGTGTCAATAATGACAGAAATTTCGAAATGATTTTCCATGCGAATTGAGAGGAAGCGACGCTTGTAAATCGATTAAAATTAGTTTATGGATTGGAAGAAGAGCCACAATGTTTTGCCACACTGGAATTGAATGGATTGGATTGTTGAATGAGCGATGGGATGGGATGGAATGCTTTGCAAATAAGTGCTTCATAATTTTATTGTTTCATCTCTCGGCAAATCCACTGAAAACAATTTCTTCAATCAGAGCAGCCGTTGTTGATGCTAACATACACACGCACATGTACATCGTACACAGTAAGCAACACATTGTGTTACCGTTGCAAGAATGTTCGTTGTGATCAAAATTGTTTGGCCGTTATTCGTGTTCGCTTTTCGCTCGCTGTGTTTTCTCATCATCCACACTGCACTGTCCGGGCTCCATGTACACTACTATTGGTTTTTATTGTTTTTGCCTCACAGTGTATTTGCTTTTTGAAAATTTACTCTGTAATGCAGAGCATACGATGAATGCCAAACAAAAACACCAGTAAATAGCTTCGTGCCAATATATATACGCATCGCATTTTTTTGCTCCCATCCCAAACCCTCTCCATCTCCATGTCTATCGAGCTCGCTTTTTTTTCTCTCATCTTCAATAATTTTTTGTTGTTGCGTTCGTTTTTTATTTTTTTCCGCTTTTTCAATTTTTCCTTCATTTTCCAATTGAACGCAACGAAAGAGCGTATTCACTCACACTGAAAATAGTTAAAAGCATTCCGATGCGAACAACAAGAGAAAAGAGAAAGCGATTCTACATGAAAAATTCAAAATCTGAACATTTTTGGAATATTGGTGCGTGAGAGTGGCTCATTGAGAGAAAGCTCCTAAAAAATAGCAACAACGACACGACACACACATACACAGGGAATTGAACATGTATTAGATGTGTTCAGTGTGTAAGAGCATTTCGATGACATTTCAAGTTACCAAACGGGCGCAGAATTTTTTTTCTTCTGTTCATTCGGTGAAAAAACTATACTCCATCAAACTACTCGTTGCCAAGTGTCCAACAACGCCAGCTTCTAACCGTTATGAACACATACCGTATTCCGGACTATGCCATATGAGGCAATTCATGTTACATTTAAACGAGAAAAAAAAACCGAACAAGCGGTCGAACGAGAGAAAGAGAAAAAAAAGAGAAATGTATATCCCGTAAAACAGCCGACCGCCATTTGTTTCGAAATATAGCGCCGTCGTCCAAGTGCCCACCTTGATGGCGTATTGTTAGAGTGAAAAATCGGAATTTCGGAAATATTTTCGCATTTTGGGAAGCCCCACAGCCTCTGTGTATATATACACAACAGCAGCAGTCACATTTACACCCGTGAATGCGTGCACAATTTCTAACGCATTAATACACATATCGATCCTTGATTCATGGTCCGTCGTTTCGTTTTTGCAACGTAACCGAAAAAAGTGTTCGTTTCATTTTGTTTCTTTGATTCGCTCGAATGAATCGAAATGAAAAGGAAAGGAAACCTATTAGATTTCATATCATTCCTACTATCACATACACACACACACACATATGCACACTTTTTTTATGTCGCTGTTCTCCTTTCGGTGACCGAGTCCATACACCGCATTGTGTCCCGAAATAAAGCAATAATCATTAAAGGAAGAACCGGACCAAAAACGAAAAAGACGAGAATCGAATATCGAACATTAAAAAATGATTATTCGAATCAAGCGATGAAGAAGAAAAAGTATGGCTGGGAAAAGAAGGAGAACGACCGAAGAAAGCGATAGCAGCACCAAGATTGTTATACCTACTGTACGAGTGCAAAATATTCTGTCTACGAAAGCAAAAGGTCCAAGCTTCGACCATGTTGTTGACTTCTCTTTTTTTAAAGTTTCATGTGCCTCATTTGATATTTTCGTCTTCTTTTTCCCTTATTTTTTTGTCACGTTATGACAATTTGTCTGGACGGGGCGTAGCACGCTCAGTCTTAGGTATAAATTAAACATCTGAAAATTAATTAAAAAGTCTATTTGAATTTGTATTCGTGCACGACGTTAGCCGATTCTCCGCACGTAATATTTTACCTTTTTAGAAACTTTGATGTTGGTGACAACCGATATCAGAATGGGTGTGTGTGTGTTTGTGTGTGTGTGAAGGAAATTAAAATGAAAAGACAATGAATAATTTGATGCAAATCAATTGGAATTTTAAATGACAACATCTTGCAATTCAGGCTAATCCCGCAGCAACTTTTTTTTTCGCTTGCTTTTTCTTGACTTATTCACGTTGTTCGATTCCTAATGAATATTCTCATTAAGTAATGATCAATTGAATTCGTTAATTTTTGCGACATCCGTTTGTACGTGATATGCGAGAGTGTGTCGCAGAGCGTAAGCGTATCTTGACAGCGGTGCTGATAATGGTGGCTGTGGTGGTGGTGGTGGCGGCGACGACAATGACAGTGTAGAAGATGCACCAAAGTGAAAATCCGGCTAACATCGTCATTCGCCCCATCAACCCGCAGCTTTAATGGACATCAAATTAATTGTACGGAAAATTTATCTTCGAACACGAACTATTATCTCAAATCGAATTACATTAAAATTCACTTAAGCACTAATTTCGACAGATTATGGTTATTAACTTTGACTACGATTAAATTAGTAGTCATCGTCGAATAAAAACGCTGAAAATTAC